CTTGTTCCTGGCTTTAATTCCCCATTGGTGCTACTTTTGGATATTTGTATATTTGTGCCATATCAGAATAAAACTTCCAAACGTTCGTGTGGAAGATTCCAACAACAAATTTGTGGTGACTCGTAGATCTGAACTTGGACCGCGTGGCACTCTACTCAGAGGATAAGGCGAGCAGAATCTACATTTCTACAGCTACATAGTCGCCACAGTGAGCACCTAGAACTAAACCCTAGGAAGGGTAGGTAGGCCCCCGAGAAAAGCGAAGATTGCTCACGAACCCGGGGGTTTTCCTCCCTTCTAAGGCTTAATCCTAAACCTTTACACTAGGAGAATATGCTATCCGTGGTGTCAAGCACAGGAGCGTTCTAAACCGCATGCCCCTCCCCTAATTGGAATATACCCTGAATCTTTCCGCACTTTCCTCCTTGTTCCTGTCCCTTACCCATCCACCAATGCCTCGTTGCTGTATACTGCAAATAGAGGTGCTCGAACCAGAAACGGGAATCAATACAGCTATGGTCCGAAAACATGGTTGTGCATTCAGAACAACAATCTGTGTGAACGTTAGCTATTCGTGTACTTGTCCTACGAGCGCCGTTTCCTCCATCGCACATTCTCCTGTCTATACCATGGCTCTCGCGTACCTGTAAGAGCACTGTTCCTACCAGCCACACAGAGGAACAGCCAGGGTGTATTGGACGTAGAGCCAAGAGGTCGTTTTTGAGTTCTTCCGGAGGGGGGGGGTCGTATGAGGATGAGGGGTTGGTGAAGGTCAAAAGGGGAAAAAGAGGTCGCATCTCTGGAAGTTGGATGGATCGTAGTGGTTGACGGTTTTCTAATAATTTTGGTGGAAATCTGAGAAGGTAAACAAAAGTGGTTGAAATTGGTGTTTGTCGTCAAGAAAAAAAAACATGGCCAACTCAACCGTATATCATCCCCCCTCGTTCTCCTATTGCATTTTCCCCATGATCGTCAGGGGCGGTATTCAATCCTTCCCCCAGGGGGATGCGCCCTCTGATTCAATCCTCCCCAGCTCTGGGGGGACAAAAAAGGGTTGCGTCATAGGACCGCGCATACCTCTGTGTTTCTACCTGCCAGACAGTTAGAGCAGCGCGACCCCTTGGGGAAAAGTGCTTCAGTGGCCGATGTCAGACTTTGCGATTGGAGCGATTTTGCACCAATTGCAGGAGCGACGGATCGCTCCAAAGTGCGAGCGACGGGAGATTTACCCGAGCGGCGCCGTGTGTATCGGTCGTCGGCGGGGTAAATCTCCCGTCGCTCCTGCAATTGGTGTAAAATCGCTCCAATCGCAAAGTCCCGAGGTATGCCGGTCCTGTGACGCAACCCATTTTTGGGCCCTCTCAAAGCTGAGGGAGGATTGAATCAGGGGTGAGGGACGCATCTCCCCTGGGGGAATGTTCGAATACCGCCCCAGATCTGAGATCATGGCCAGTTCGATGTAGACGTAGTAGGTTCAGCTGGGTCACTGTAAGCCTAGAGCACCTCAAAGGATAGTTTCAATACCCTGCTACAAAACAGTAGCAAAACAAACCGATATATACATAAATATTTATTTATTACAATCATTGCATTGAATAAGTTAGTGATTAACTATGTGGATAGCTGAATCTCATAGCTCTTTCTCACAGCTTGTACAAGAAAACTCGAACATTGCATCGGGCTACAAAAAGGGATTTTAGGTCTTCCATTAGTACCTCACCTTCCAGCGAGGAGTAAGTATGCTTACTTGGCGGCGCTATGGCCGTGGACCGGTCGAGCAAAACACTTCCGTGATACAGTCTCAAATCCCGTCTACCAAATACCGACTACAAACTTATCTTGGCAGTTGGAAGCAAAAGGCCCTTAACAATCGTTCTCTATTTCAAAGGGAACACCATCAATTTGCAGCTAACTGCCAAGTCATCACAACCGATTACGAGTAACACCAAGAAAGGCCAACTTGAACACAGCGATGATCAGAAGTGAAAACAAAATGAAGCTGATAGATCAACTAAAACTGAAATGCGATCACACACAGGTACTGACAATTTCTGGTGCGGTATAAAAGCGTGATTAAATTCGAGACAGAAGGGTTATCAGTACTAGAATAAGACCGAAAACAGATATGTTAGGAAGATAATGACACAAGTTTACTTGAAAATCTGGTCATAATCAACGATGAGCCTGTAGCAGAAATTGTTCAAATTGTTCAGCTGGGCGATAGGCACCTAAAAAAATCAGCTGTCATAATAAAAACACTGCCGGAAAAACACAGCTGCTGTAACAAAAACACTTCCCAAAAAATCGAGTTAAAATGATGAGCGCTAGGAACAAAGAAATATGAAAATTCTGAAGTCACCTGCTGATCAGTAGGCCACGTGAGATTTGGTCCAAACACAACGCTGAGATTATTTGCGGTCATTAAATTCACTTTGTGATTAGCTGCCACCTTAAACATTCTACCTACGGAAACGATACAAGCTTTGGAACAACAAGAACACAATGACAACTACTCATAGAAGTGACAATGATGGATTGTATTTTGAAACAGGTTGCAAAACATATCGGACCACCGTCCAAGCGCCCAGAGCTTGTGGACTTTGTGATTGGAGCGATTTTGGCACCAATTGCAGGAGCGACGGATCGCTCAAGCGATCCGTCGCTCCTGCAATTGGTGCAAAATCGCTCCAATCGCAAAGTCTGACATCGGCCATTGCTTGCGCACCTACCTTTCTAGGCCTTACCATGTCATCAAAGATCTACGAAGGCAAATATTGTTGGCTTTGAATGACTTAAACTCCTCAAGGTGCCATCATCAAAATAAAATCGGCATGGTGAAGAGGGAGAGAGCGGGAAAGAGAGAGAAGATATATGAGCAAAGCTATGGACTCAAAAGCGTCAATGCTTTCTTGCTTGCGCAACTTCGCCTAATAGAGATTCATGACCATACTGACCACGCACACTGGACCTTTGCACAAGAAAAGGGAAATTTAGCTCACACATACTGTTGCCTAACTCCCTCAACGATGGCTCACCCACCCCTACTAGCATCGTTACAAGCTGTGGTAGGTGCCGTTCCCTGCCCGTCTGCGATCTGGCCTTTCCTTGAGAGGAACAGGAAAGTTCAATTAGTCACGTCACCCCTAACCCATCACACAACTCTCCAGCTGGTTGGCCTATGAAGAAAGAATGGAATGCATTAGCTAATTCACCTACTTCTCCGCATGGCAGTTTTTCCATGTGCCATAACCTCAGCATGGTTGAAAGGATTATGCATTCCGCGCCAATCAATCCCTTCTTGAGATGCGCTACACATTCCTCTTCCTTCCAGAATCCCGGCGGCACTTGAATGCGGGTATAACTAGTAGCAGTAGCCTTGGCCAGCTCGATGTAGAAGTCAGTGTTTTTGAGAGGGATGGAAGGCTCAGTTTTCCTGCGCAAGATTCGATCCTAGATTCGAGCCCCAAACCGTACGCTGGAAGTGGCGCCATTGCCACACAGTCGCTAGGTGCGCAAATGTCACCAAAAAGTGGCGAGTAAAAAAAATAAAAAGAAGGCAATGTTTTCTACAAAATATGACAGTTAGCATTAGGAAGAGCAAATGAAAATTTCGCACCACAACGTCCCCCCCCCCCCCACTACGTGTTAGAAAATGCACAACTTTTTGTAGTAGAAGATGATTTGGCCGAGGAAGTAAAGCGACGAATTCCTTTACCGCTGGCGTCTTTTCCTTTTTGGGGATATCTTCAAAACATCGTTTAGCTCATCTGATATACTCGACCACACAAGTGTAACAAGATTCATCAGATAAACAAACAACATAACAAACAAGAACAACTCATGACAACCTGCGAGAGCAGCCAGACGTGGGTAGAGGGCATTGGTCGTAACTGGCTCGCCAACGATCGTAGGAAAGTCTTCAGCAAAACGATGACATGCAATACAGGCGACGTAATGGTTATCAACATATTCAGGATCGTTTTCGAAATCAATACGCTCGCCTGAAAAAAGATGACCTCGTCTCAGTCATATTTCTCAAGCAAATTCCATGCCTTTTCTCAAAAATGAGCTGTCAGAAAACTAGTCAGAGACATAGACCTCAGAAATTTAGGCGTTTTTCAAACCATCATTAAAACAGTCACAAGGGATGATTTCGCCAGAACAGGAAGGAAAATTGAGACGTTTTTTTAGCTGGTGAACCTAATATTTCAAATATAAAGTTTTGAAGACAGCTATTCGAGTTACCTCTGTTGATCCGTTCTTGCAATCTGCGGATACTGCCGACATTGGCGCTTTTTCTAAAGATGCCCTCGACATCTAGAGCGTGTTTTGTGAGAAATTCGATCAATTCGGTAACAATGGGTGGCACATCGTGGTCGGGGTTGTGCGACAATACTGAAAGGAGTTAGAATAAGTACAGTCAATAAAATAATGAACAATTTTCCTACAAAATGCACCCGTCGACCAACAGAGGGAAGCCTCACTAGGGATCCAATATTTTTCGGAAAACCAAAGTCAAAATTTGCACGTTCTCACCAGACGCTGCAAACAGGTAAACTGTTGAACTTACAATTCTAAGCTGACGCCAAATTGTTGCGTAGGTCTAGGGGGAGTAGGCGGAGTTTGAGATCTGTTATCACCGGAAGCCTGTCCAGAGCCTATCTGCAGCTGCTCATCATGTGTTCGGATTGGTTGAGGCAAATTCAGTCTAAATACAACCTTTCTATTAATAAGCAGACTTGCAGCAGCAGAATCCGCTCTAATTACAAACCTGGCTACCGAAAGAGCCTCTTCCAGCTCCTTTATGCAAGTCACATAGTGGAACTTGTCCTCAAATTTGGATGAAATAAATGGTCGAAATAATCCCCAAAGAATTCGGATGAACCGGGTCGGATGTACCACATATAATGCTTTTAGGTTCTTTTTGAATCTAAAAATTAAAAGTATACAGTAAACATAGCTATTTACTAGAAAGAAAAAAATCGAGATGGAAGCCATCAAAGCAAAAACTGAACTAAGCGAGAATGGAATAGAAATTGAATTGATTTAATTACCTTCGATCAAGCACTTTATACGCTTGGAATAACCATTTGATGGGAGGTTTATTGTGACTTCTTAGACCATAATGGAAGTAAACTATAGTATAATCCAAGTCAACCACCTGTAAACATAAAGAGAAAGTAAACAATAGAAAGCCAATTGACAAGGATACAAAGGACGTACTTTGTCAAGGATTGATTGTAAATATCGAAGCAACTGGGCATGATCTATGGATTTGCTAGGAGGGAGGCGATAAGCATAAATAACGATGATCGGCCTGAAACGACCTTTAATCTAACATGGGAAAAACGACAGAATCATGGTTTTGGACAAAAAAACGAAGCGTCTGCGAGCAAAAAAGTTTCACAAACCTTCCAACCCTGTCACCATCCGCAATCACCTCTACGATCTCATATCTGGCTATAGTAGAGAAATCTTCTTCGAATGGATCGACTGTCCCTAATTCGGACTCATAGTCTAGTCTCTCCAGAAACGACCGCGACGGTGGAACACCACTTAGATCTACTAAAAACAATGGAGAGTAATAACTGTTCACATGCACTGTGAAACAATACGAAAAATAAAAAATAAATGAAAACAACATGCAAGCCAGAGCCGGTAAACACACGACAATATTACAATCGAAACCCCATTCCATGCCTACGAGGCGTTTTCAAACCTACACTATTCAAAATATCTTCTTTCGAGAACGCAGTTCACTATTTTGTAAGGCCGCAACCACAATTTATCTGAACAATTATTCTAGCTAGAAAATACACGTCGATACACATTCGAAGGAATGATAACACGGTTATTCACCTCTCCCGATCAACTTTTCTGAAGGATTTTGATTGAAAAGACAGTCAGGAATCGTTAACTAGAAACAAAAATCCAAAGAATTACCGCTTAAATCATCAGCAGCAAGGAGATCATCGTCAGCAAAACCGTCCTCAGGCTCTGTGAAAGCACTGCTTACCTGCCTGTCGATCGTCGACATGCAACGGATACCTGTTGGAAAAGGTAGGTACTCGAAAAAATTACGATGCTCGGAAACTTATTGCACTGATAATATTACTATAAATACACAGTCATGCATAGACAAACGATAGGTTCATGAAATATTACATGGAAAATCAAGATTGCACATGTATGTGGTCTATTTGAAAGTGTTGTGACCACACAGTCAATAGTATCACGTTGGATAAAGCATTTGCCGTTGATCAATCCCTTTTTGGGATGCGGCACGCATTCTACTTCCATTTGTACATTCGTAGTGGCGTTTGAATGCGATGTGGCCTATACAATGACTTGCGGGGGCCAGCCGATGTACAAGTCAGTGTTTTTTCCCGGAGGGATGGAAGGCTTGGTTGGCCCGGGCGACACGACCCAGGATTTGATCCCCGGACCGCTCGCGTGGTAAGCGTGCCACTTGTCACTACACCACTTCCGCCCCTTTAAAAAGTTAGGATCAGAAACGAGATTGATGCACGACATCGTTTTTAGACACTCCCAAGAGGCCCATCTTGAAGGGCTGCGTCATACTTTTGCAGTTCGACTCGCAGCTGACTTGCTTTCTGATCGTGCGACCGAAAAGTATAACCCGGCCCGAACAGACAACTTTGAAGGTACTAAATGTATCGGAGCTATGAATCCAAAACTTTGTTCTACTTTTCCATATTCTGGAAGGTGTACAAATTTTGTTTAGTCCATAAAGCCACTCTCGCGTTTGTAGACGCAAAAAAAGAAAACAACGAGTTAAACATAGTCACGTGGTACAAAAGAGGTTTAATTATGTCAGACCAAACAAATCATAGCAATTCGCAAAAGATATAATTAATAGAGGCTCCAACAAAGTGGGTGGGTGTGGTAAGGTGGTGTGGAAAACAAGTGGCGCAGATTCTCAAGTGGTCAGATTCTGGATTAGGTCTTGCTCAAGTTAACCGACCAATCCTCTGAAGTCAGACAGTTGATACCAAATGTCTCTGTAGGACAAACAAATTACTAATTCACATCAGCTGCTCTTCGCAGGTCCTTGTCTCAGGCGATATACGACATCACATCCAAATGCCACGATGATAATGGATAGAAGCAAAATGCGTGGCGTATTCCAGAAAATGATCAACATCATGTTTCTTCATGTTGCCGCTTTTTGACTTACAAATTCAAACATATTAAAGCAGTTTCGCGACAAAATCAGAAAAATAACCCATCCGTCACGACAAGATGGTAAGCTCTACTTCATTGCGTCATTGGGATGAACAGATCGAACGAATTATTGTCGAAAAAAAAAACATCCGTCCCTGCCCTACTATAAGTAGTCACATTATTAAAAAAAAGAGCTGTGAACTATTTCCAACAATCAATGCGGTTCGCGGCACATTCAACAAAAGTAATGAGGCCTCACATGGTGTCTGAATCTCGCGCTTGACATGACTCGCCGCTCAGATAAGAGCAGAGAAAAGAAAAAATCCGCCCACTAATTGCTTTGACGGCGTTTCAGCATCGAGTAGAAACGATTTTGAAGAATTCGAAACAAAACATAAACTGGGGGGTAAAAAATGCTGTGCAAACGTCTAAGTCTGAGCAAGTTTCAGAAAGAAGCTGAAATCGGTTCACAACGTCACCAATGCAAGCGTGGCAACTCCATGAATATAAAATGAAACAAACGATGAGTCAGCGAACACATGAAGGAAGCATTGATCGCAATGGCCCCGCCCCTGTTTATGAAACTGTTGTCCCGTCCGACCGAATCGAAATAGGAAGATCAGTTTTCAGAATGTGGAGGGGACTTCCAACGAGGAGAGGGTCCTTCCAGCCGTCTGCACCTCTCACTCCATGACAACGACGGCTCATCCACTAAGACGTTTCTCCCTTCATCTCCTTGGAAGGTGCGCTTTCTTCCTCAGCAACTGAGAAAGTTGCTAGGAGAAGGAAACGATAGAGGATTATCAACACCCAGATCATCTTCTAAAACACTACGATTCTAAACAGATGTTCAATCTCTGACCAAGGACCGTACTCAGCATTTCCCCAGACTAGGGAAACAGATAATCCCTTTAAATTTTCTTTCTTTCCTACAACACTTGCCCTGAGAAATTGCATGCTTGTAATGTGTGTACAGATGGATGGCAAAAAAAACATTTCGTCTTCACATTTAAATGGATAATATCGCACACCGCTAAATTCAAATGTGATGCTCCCAACTCAATTGAAGAGTGTATTCCATTTAATAAAAAAAAAACTTTTCATAGTGGCCTACTACGTGGACGTCCTTGAAAAAATTCTCCACGGGAACATGGGGAATGGGTCGAGCTCAATGGGGTCCTCGACGAATCGTGTACCATTATGAGGATTTCTGAAATACTGGCTGGAAGGAGTTCGCGTAGTCACAGCTTATATTTCTAGAAACTATGCACCAGTGAATCGATTAAGGAAGTTGCATAAGAGCTTCACGCTGGAGGAATCACGGTAGGTCTCTCTGAGCTCGATGACGATGGTAGATGACGTCGGATTCTGGAGAAGAAGAAGAGAGCAGTGGAGAAAGGCTTACGTCTCCTCATAGACGGACATTTGTGGAACAATTCCATGGAAGACCTCCGTCAACGGCTGCAATCCTTGCGGCGAAAGAATCGCTGAAGTTCGACATGGGCAAAATGACTTTTTTGGCCCCCGCTGTATGTCTGAAAAGCAAGCATGTGCATTAAAGTTAAGTGCAGGGAAACTAGTTTTCGTATAGCCATAAATTTTACGAAGCACTTCATCCCCCCCCCCTGGGCGGAAGTGGTGTAGTGACAAGTGGCGCGCTTACCACGCGAGCGGTCCGGGGATCAAATCCTGGGTCGTGAGTCGGGCCAACCAAGCCTTCCATCCCTCCGGGGTCGGTTAATTGGTACCAGACTTGTCTGGGAGGATAAAAACACTGACTTGTACATCGGCTGGCCCCCGCAAGTCATTGTATAGGCCACATCGCATTCAAACGCCACTACGAATGTACAAATGGAAGTAGAATGCGTGCCGCATCCCAAAAAGGGATTGATCAACGGCAAATGCTTTATCCTTATCCTTTATCCTTTGTCCCCCTACTCGGGTGACGGTTAGGATACGGCCCCATTTTGACAAATTTTCGGCGATGGAGATGACTAGTAAAAATCCATCTGCTGATAGACCATAAACAAGGAATTGACGTCGTTTCTGCCAAAAATGGCACCATAAGAGACACTGCGATACATGAATATGATGCGTCCCACTAGACAAAATAACCGATCGACCCCCAACCAATGGAGAAAAACCGGTTTTGCATTGAGGATGTTTTTCAACATTGGTCAGACTTTTGCCCTAATTGCTACAGAATACAGTGTTGGTTGCGTCTTGAAGAAAGTCGATATGCTACCTTCAGAGAAGGCAGATGAGAAACTTTACGGCATTAAACACAATACTTACTGATGTAAGCTTCTCAAGGCTCAAGCGATGAGGTGATTATCACGATCTGGTCAAGCGAGTTATCAGTCCATTTATTGGTGCCAGTCACTGTTTCCGAACCGTTTGAACAGCAATGTAGTGTGTAGTGTAAGAATGTAGTAATTATACTTGTTCTAGGGACATGTATTAATTGCTAAGTTAACATGTTTTGAACCGAGCATCACATACAGATCCCGAAGTTTGGGTCCTGCTGTGCAAATATTGGAGAGGGTTCGATCAAAAAGGTCGTTGAAAAATACCCTAATTCCTGTGGCAATGCACATCTTAAGTGCAGACCTATTAGCATGCTTGACATCAAGTGATATCAACAGCATCAAAAAGAATAAGTAATACAAACTATTAACTGGCCGCGGTGACATGTGCGCACTTGATGCAATGAGTGCAACTACGACCTGTCTCGCCGCGAGAAACAGAGTGCAATTTGTGATCAGAACGAAAAAGAATGAGAGTCGAATGGACGTCTGCAATGCGGTTCCAGTGTTTTCAAACAGGAAAAGCATGCAGCTACCCATTGCAGTTCTGAATCAAACCATATATATTGATAGAGATTCAAAACGATGTACAGATAAGATTCCAGACGAGCAAAGCCGCCCGCACCGCCACTTGGTCCCCCCCCCCAAACTAACTTAGCACTGCTTCATCATCGCGTTTGGAGCTCCCTTGATGTATCGAGGTCTGAATTCAAAGTTATATGGAAAGTTGAATGCCTTCCTTGGTAAGTGTTCTAAAGACCAGGACCTGCGGAGAATCGTTTTCACTTTCAAGCAACAGCATTGGGACAACATATTGACAAAAGCAAAGTAAGTGAGACCAATACATGACAACATATTGACAAACGCAAAGTAAGTGAGACCAATATCGCACTGATGCTTCAGAGCGCTTTAAGCGCCGAGCATTTCGTAGGTTTCCAAAGTTTTTTTTTGCAACCGTCTGTGGTACAGCGTGGAATTCGATTTTTCTTCCACCGAAAGATAGTATAGGTTACAAAAAAATAGATGGCAAGCAAAGCAAGACACTGAAAACGGCCTCTATTGGAAATGAAGCGGGTATTGTAATGTCGTGAAGCAGACGACACCCAAAGATGTCCACATACATTCAAGTCCGAAAGAAGGTCACGTCATCGTCCCGAGCGATTGCATAAAAAGAATATAGGATATGAATCCAAGCGGAAACGATTCGAGACCATAAGAAAGTGAAATTGATTGGAAGAATATCGTCACAATCCAACCGGAGATTGTAGTCACTGGAAACGATTTCTGCTTTCTAGGCGTAAACTGCAGCGTAATGTCTGCAATTCACACAGACAACGCTCAATCTTTCCTAATTTTACTTGTTCAAATCAAAAATCTGTCCAAAGTGAATCTGTCTGCGGAAAGCAAAATTCTCCGGGAAACTTGCCAGTTCACATCTTAGAAAATCAGTAAGTCGCTTCAACCTTTCCAATCACCTCGCAACATCGCGTCAAAATCACGGAAACGCTCCGTTTTAGGACTAAGCTTTTGAAGAGGAGAGGAACTCCGGTGTACGGAAGCAATTTTCGTATTCTCCGGAGTTCGTCCCTGCTGTTTAGGCTTAGTCCTAGATGACTTTTCTCAGAGTGCCCCCCCCGAGCCACATTGCGCCAAACTCTCGGGGGTCTCGAATCGTGTTACTCCTATGGTTGTAGTAAATTTAAGGGTTTCTATCAATATTTTCTCTTCCAGATGGGTAGCACCATGATGCTACGAATTGGGCGATTAAAAGCTTTTTCGCAGCGAGAAAAGACGATCCGCCGGTGTATGTCGACGAAATGATGTGAGGTTTCATCTCTTATTTTATGTTGCTTTGCGCTTTGTTAGTGGAAGTGTTCTTCAAGGATCAGATACGGCGAAGATCATAAGATTCTTCGAGAGCCACGACCATATTCACGTACCATCGTCTTCATTACTGCCTCCTGATGAAGATGGATCACTGTTATTCACCAATGCAGGCATGAATCAGGTAGCAATGGTTACCTTAACTTCTCCGCATCGCAGTCTTCATTTTTTGCTTTGTCAGAGGCTCTGATACTCTTTAATTATCTTTCATTCATTGATAATTATTTTAGTGTAGATGAAGAAAGGAAAAACCTTTTCAAACGGAATATCTAACTTAAAAAAATAATGTCGTTTCGGTCGTTCGCCTACAGTCGACACTACTTGGACTCAGTCCCTCCCAACTCCAACAAACAAAAAATAGGTTTAGTTTTAGGGTTCTCACGCCTTTCTCCTAGGGATTTGGAGCCGAGCCAGGCTCCCCTCCCTGATTGTCTGTTTCCTCTGCATTCTGGTAGAAAGAATTGAGTGAATTGCTTCTAATCAGACCGACCACTTTTTCTTTCGTTTTTCTGATCATTGTGAGATCAGCAAGTTCTAAACTGACTGCGTGGCTAATTGGGTGGTGCTAACTTAGTTGGGGGGGGGCCACGCGGCGGCGCGGCAGTCTGCTCGCCTGGCATGTTCGGAAATCCGTGGGCCAGGGGGAGTGTAGCAGTCTAGGGGGGTGGGGGGTGGGGGCAGTCACTTGACATGCGTGAAAAGCTGGAATGTTCGAGTTTACACTGTCTCGCTCGAGAGAGCCCAGGTGAGCAGACTGCCGCGCCGCCGCGTGCCCCCCCCCCCCCAACTAAGTTAGCACCGCTTTGCAATTTTCATTTCACACATCACTCCTGTTCTTGGGGAACTTAGACAAACAGATGGCGCTTGTCTCGAAAGCGAGGGTCAAGCTATCAGAAGTGTCTTCGTGCCGGCGGCAAACACAATGACTTGGAGGTAGGCCTGTCGAACCTACATGTTTATTTATTTATTTATTTATTTATTTATTATTATCAGTTCGACGTTATAACAAAGGTGGCGTATAAAATAAAATAATGTTGTTCTCACCAACAAAAAAAAACAGTTTCAGAATGTCGGACGAGATCTTTATCACCAGTCGTTTTTTGAGATGCTTGGTAATTGGTCGTTTAACAATGCTTACTCCAAGGTAATAATGGCTTTCCTTCACCTAGAAGTATTAGAAGAACTTGATTTCATGATGTTTACTATTTAAAAAGAATAGCTCTTGATATCACATGATTTACAGAATTATAGGAAGATGCGTGCAGACTAGCGTGGTACTTCCTCACAAATGTCTTAAATATTGATCCGGCTCGGTTATATGTCTCATACTTTGGCGGCTCAAAAGAGTGGAATCTCGCTGCTGACGAGAACTGCAAGAAAATTTGGCTAAAAATAGGGTAGCGAGCGTTTTGTTGTGTGTGTTGCCTTCAGGTGATCTTTATGAAAGCTTTTTCAGGCTACCTGAATCTCATATTTTGCCGTTTGAAAAAGATAATTTTTGGGAAATGGGTGTCACTGGTCCGTGTGGGCCATCCAGCGAGATTTTCTACGATCGCGTAGTGGGACGAAGTGACGTCGGTCACTTAGTTAATGTTGATGATTCGATTGTGGAGCTGTGGAATATTGTTTTCATTTCTATGAACAGGTATTTAACCTCAAATGTTTGCCGTTTATAGAAACTCTTTGCAGTACCTTTCCAAATTGGTGTTGATCCGCCGCTGACCATGAGAGTTCGTTTTGCAGAACCTCCAGCGGGCGTCTCGAACCTCTTCCAAGTAATCATATCGACACGGGTATGGGATTGGAACGCTTGGCCTCAGTGATGCAAAACGTGCCTTCGAATTTTGATATTGATGTGTTTTCACCTATCATGAAGCGTATATCTGAGGTTCGTTTTTAGACCTCAATATTGGTCTTAAGATCGGAACGCAGAAACTTCCCTCCTCTATGGCATGTTTTCATTAAAGCGCAAATTTGGTGGTTCGTCCATATATTGGTAAAATTGCTGAATACCAACGAAGTGAAACCGGAATCCGCGGAAAACTTGCCTTGTAAATGCGTATAGAAAGACAAAGATCTATTTTTGTGCTCTCTCCAACCTCGTCTTCTTGGCAACCAGCTGGTCCTCCGGTGTTGTTCCGAAGAATCGCTATATTTTGAAGTTCTCTCATTACGACGGGCCAATTAGGTCAGAAATGAGGGCACCAAATTAAACTGCGTGTAAAATTACGGCGCTGAAATGAGTATGGGTCACGATGATACAGGGCGCTGGTATAGCACTTAATTAGGTGATTTCTGGGCTTTCTGAAATTTTCTATTTCATCTTTCTTATGAGGTGATCATTACAACTCTTGTACACTACTACAGCTTGTCAAAATCAATGATGTTAAATTGTCAAGACATCGAAACTTTGACATGTTTTCTGAATCTTATTCCAGCTTTCCAAATCGGGTGCGTATTGTGGGCGTGTTGGTTCAGCGGACATCAATGAGCGAGATGCATCGTATCGCATTGTGGCCGACCATTTGAGAGGAACTGTTCGTCGCTTTGGCCGATGGTGTTGTGCCAAGCGCTGTTGATTCAGGGTTTGTGAAGGATCTCATTTTCCTTTACCCGTAAAATCTTTATTTTCTCAATTGTAGATTTATAATCCGTAAGAATGTTACGGCGATTATACTGGCATGCGGTGAATCGTCTGGGAATTGATCGTTTCGCCTGTTCAGAGTTTGTACCTACTGTTATTGACACCTTAGTGAGTTGTTATTTTTCATTGCGTTCAGGACTTTTCGATGCTATTTTGGCTGATACTTAGAGACCGGCCTATCCAGAGTTGGCTAGCTGTGGAGAGAGCGTGGCGAAATGTGTAATGGAGGAGGAAGATCGATATTGGAAACTTGTAGACAAGGGGAAACACCATATTTGAACAAATGCGTTTGAACATGCCTGCGAACGAGAGCATTTTTTCAGGTAGGCCACTTACCCTGCAATAATGAAGTCCTGCACCCCGATTTTCTACGAAATCCTAATTTCCAGGAGAAAACGCTTGGATTCTGCATGATACTCATGGCATTCCCATTGAAATCACCGAAGATCTCAGTAAAAAACACGGCCTAGTCGTTGATGATAAGAGATTTCTAGCACTCAAGGAAGAGGCAAAGGTGGACTCATTAGTGATGGAAAAGGAAGATTTTCGTCCAATAATGAAGTGAAACGCATGCTTTTAGATGCTCTCTAAAAGCAAAAGTAACTTCTCCACCCGTCTTTCTGTCGACACGACAGGGCTGGAAAAGTATTCCGATGACGCAAAATATGAGTACTCACTTGAGGCAGACGGTTCCTACGGTATGTGTTACTTGGTGGTACATCAACCTCTAATTTTGGTAGATCAGTTATGGTTTCCAGCGTTCCCTCAAATTACTACGAAGATAGTGGCTGCTTTTGATAAGGATCAGCGAGTACCTTCATTCTCATCATCGGGATCGATTGTGCTGGAAAGTTGCCAATTCTATGCGGAAGAAGGTGGTCAAAAGAGTGATAAAGGCGTGCTGGAAGTGGATGAGGTACTTAATCTTGAAGGTTATTCCCGTTTTTTTCCTTTCTTCTTTGTGCTTCTGTGTTCTGCGCTCAGCTCAATACTAAATTACTGTGTTTAAATAAGAGCAGAAATGGTATGGTGGGAAGTGACGCCGCTCGTCTTGCACACGCTTCAGCGGTCATATTCCGGATCGAATCCATGCTTACCATTAGTTTACCAAGCTTTTCATCCACCAAAGTCCACTCATGAGTGCCAAACACTTCTAGGGACAGAAGCATTATCTTTTCTTGACTGACCTTCGCAGTTTATTGTATAGGCCGAAGCGCGTTCATTTACTACTGCCACTCTTGAACAGAAGTCGAGTGCATGGCGCAGCTCAAAGGTTGAGCACTGCCGGTTGTTCAAAACTTCCTTCTTTATGTTGTGGGTTGATGCCGTAGGTTTTTTCGTGCTTTCTCACTTTTCAACAAAGGCTGGCTTTAGGACTTCCATTTGAGAGACCATCAATTCTTATGTGTTGAAGGCCGAGTTTGCGATCGGATAGCTGCTCATTGGAATCAAGGTAGAGGTGGTCAGTGTTGCCGGGAGAAGAATAAACCATGAGAAACGGCTCAGAGCCAGAGAAATGGGACCCCTCCTTGCAGCTAAAGACCGACAACGAGTGGTTAGCCAGTGGGTGGGCGTGCCGCGCCTACATCGCCGCGGGAAGGGCGATGCTAGATCGCTGGGAGCATATCCTTCGCTGTGAATTGCGTGTCAGTCCGCACCCTTAGGAGATCCGCCTGTCATTCCTTCAGGTGAAATTCTCCTTTTCGACCTTCAACCTTATCGTGGAATCTTCCTTTGATGTACATTATTTTTACTCAGATTAGTTCTCCACCTAACGGTGCGATCAGCTTATCAAATAAACCCGTTTATGCACTCTCACTTTATTTTCGTATATTCCGTCTTCTTTTGGTTTGTTTCCCAATCCTTTCAGAGTTCCTTCCTCTCCTGATTCTTTCAATTGTTCTTCATCCCATTTGCTTACTTTCCCTGTACCTTCATCCCAACTTTACTGACAGCTCACTTTAGTTGCTATTTGAGCCCCTCTGGTGGACTTACCATTCACGTTTCTCGATTGTTTCACTAGTTCTTCCAAGTTGTACTCCTGGAGGTGTATGATTGGTTGAAACAGACCACTGGAAATTCAGTGATAGGAGCAAGTTTATTCTAGGATCTGTGAAAGGCTTTTTGGTTGTTTCGAGTTTGGAATTACAATTTTTCCTGTTTTTTCTATTGTATGCCGGGCACGTTTCGTCGACATTCAGGAACCAGTGTTCGAAGTTACGTCTGTCGAAAAAGTGAATGGCGTCGTTGTTCTGAATGGTAACGTAATTGGACAAGCCACGATCTCGGAAGGTTTAGTGGTCAAGCAGAAAATCAACGTTGTGAGTTTTCTTGAGTGTTTTTTCCATTATTTTGTGCTTTGCTCTTCCGTCGTTCTCTCAGTTTAGCGCTTTGTCTTAGCACTGCTGCTCCAAGTTTATCTCATCCAGGAACGCCGGCTTGCTTTAATGCGCGCCCACTCGGCAACACATCTTCTGAACTGGGCATTACGACGTGTTGGAGCAGGAAGAGGGCAGCGAGGATCAGCCATTGATGAAGATTTCCTGAGATTTGACTACGCAACTGATGACTGTGCTGGTGAAGATGATACTGTATGTGTATGAAAAAGGGATTTACAATTACCAAATATTTTCTAATGAAAGCGGCCAGAAATATTTCTTCAGGTCGAAAATGTTGAATCGCTCATAAAAAGTGTGATATCGGAAGCTAGAAGCGTCATGGTAGAAAAGATGCCATTTGCAGATGCTGGAAAGATTCCCAATTTGCAGTCCGAGTTCAAAGAGGTAGGCCTGGTGGATTTACTCCGAAAAGTCATGTTCGCACCACACCCTGTCCCCTTCTTGTGTAACGT